ATATATTACAAATGTTTACCAAAATATTTACTTTGAGGACTCATGTAGTAGTCAAATTGAATTTCACAATAAAAATTTTAAAATGACACTTTTCTTAAAATGAATATAATGCATTTTATTATCAGTTATGTGTGCACCGTATGGTGTTAATGTACTAATTTTAAATAGACATGTTTTATGTAATTTTGAAAAATTTGAATTTCATTAAAAAATTTCAATAATTTAATATAAATAAATTGTATTACATATGGATTTTATATTTTTAATTTATAAATATTATTTAATAAATAGTTTTAATTTGTAAATATTAACGATTGTCTCTTACCTATAGATAAATTGTGTTACATAATGATTCAATATTTTTAATTTATAAATATTAATGAATATCTCCTACCCGTGCATCGCACGGGATTCGTGCTAGTGATTAAAAAAGTTCAAGAATTTCAATGACTATTTCACATAGATATTTATGAAATGTTCGTAGAAATACCTTATAATGATCAATTATGAAATTTGACTCATGGGCGGAACTAGGCAGGCGCCAGTAGGGGCACAGGCCCCTGTGCAATTTTTTAAAAAAAAAATTATAACATATATAATTATAGTGAAAAATAATTACAGGAGGTTTTTTTAAAATTTAAGTTGTTTGCATTTGGTTTTTATACTATGTTGTAGGCAACATATATAAATGAGTTAAATCGATTTTTCACAAAAATCAATATTGATTTTGATACATATTGAATTCAGGTGTTCTTAAAATTATAATTATAAGTTTAAATTAGCTACTAAATTGTGTTTTTCATTGATTTTTAAGTAAAAAATATTTATCTTTATTATAAAAAAGTCTGTGAATGCTGACGTTGTAAGAATATCCAGTGGAAAAGAAAAAAAATTGGTATTTGAAAAAAAATATATTTAATGAGATTTGAATTTGTTTAATTATTAATGATATAATATATAAGAACATGCAGAGAGTAAATATCATTTTTTTTTTCACTTTGTAAAGGTTATGTTTGTACCCCCTCAGTCTTGCGAGTCTGCGTCCCTGGTTTGACCATATGTTCGGCTAAAGCATTTCTAATTATGTGTTGAATAAATCAAACTTTTTACTAAACTATAAATAGATAAAAATACTCATGCATTTATAATATACATTAGATCTTTATTTAGTTATTTCGTTTTTTGTTTTTTTATTGACTCATTTTTTTTATATATATTTTTGTTGAGTTTGTAACATGTCATTTAAATCTTTTTATATTACGACACCATTATGTTATTTTTGAAAAAAAAAATATTATGAGTTTATTTGTTCTATATTTTATTTTATTCTTGCAATCATATGTTTAATTATCTAATTAATTTATCTTATCGGCTAAAAACATTCATTACCACGTGCATCGCACGTGCACTTTACTAGTATAATTAAATGAGTAACAAATATCATGCATTAATTTGTCTTAGAG